CCGCCGCGCCGTTCGCCCGGCCGCCGCCGGCGCCCGCGGCAGCGGCGGCGCCGAGCGCGCCGAGGGTGCCGCTGGGCTGCCGCGCGAGCTGCGTGATGGCGTCCTCAGCCAGCCGCTGCGAGTGCGCCCGCTGCGCCGCGACGCCGTCCGCCAGCGGCCCGCGCCGCTGCCCGTCTTTCCCTCCCCCCTGCCCCTCCGCCTCCCGCTGCTGCGCCGCCCGCGCGGCGTTCTGCAGATGCAGCGCCACCGCGTCCTCGTGCCTGCGGGGACCGCGGGCGTTGACCGGTCAACTCTATGCGCAGGGACGCCCCTGGGCAGCCCGTCGCTCCGCCCAGCCGTCGTTCCGCGCGGGCGCTGCCAAGCAGCTGCTGCCAGCTGCGCGCAAGCCGACGCACCAGGCTTGTCCCCCCCTGCTGCCCGCCCGTCCGCCCCCCAAAACGACCCCGTGCACGCATGCTGCGCCGCGCGGCGCGGCGCGGCGGCTCACATCTTCTTGTAGCCGACGGCCGCCAGCTGTGCGGCCTTTTTCAAGGCTTCAGCCATAGTCTCCAGCGCCCAGCAGCTGGTGAACCAGGGCGCCACGAAGCTGGACACGAGGGCCCCCAGGCTGATGCCCGCGCAGATGGCCGCGGTGCGGGCGCCGAAGTAGGCGACGCTGCCGCCGGTGCGCGGCTGGCCGGGGGCGCAGCAGGGGGTGTACTGGCAAAGCACCTCGGAGCCGACGGTCATCTGGCGTTTAGGGTGATGCATCGCAGGTTTCCTCTTCTAACCGCAAAAAGGGGCACTGGAAGGTCCCACTCAGGAAAGCGAGGCCAACAAGTGGACTTGATTTGGTATATGTGTCAATACTGGGCGGCGACGAGTGCATGAGCTCTTGCGGTTGGCTGCGAACCTTCGTCAAAGCGCCTCGGACCACCCGCAGGCCCCAGCAGGCAGTTGCGCAGCAGGTGCGTGCCAGTGCCAGTGCCACGGAGTCAACAGCGCGAAGCGCGCCCCACCAGGGTGAGCGTGATGGTGACTCGGAAGTTGCTGCTGCCCAACAGGCCGACGGCAAACGCGGCCACGCATAGGGTTGCCGCGAGGACGTGGGGGCTCGTGGCGACCCAGGGGTGCCACATCAGCGCGAATCCGACGGCGCCACCCAGCACACTGCCGACCATCCAGGACACCACCTAGGGGGAGGGGTGCGGTGGATGTGTAAGCGTGTGCGCGTGCGCAAGTGTTTGCGTGTAGGAGAGAGAGTGGGTTCACGTGTGTGTGTGTGTGTGTGTGTGTGTGTGTGTGAGAGTGTGTGTGTACGCATGTGCGTGTGCCTGCGCCTGCACGTGTGCGCGCATATGCATACCACAGTGCTGGAAGGGTGAGGGGTGATAACTGGTAAGGCGGATAATCACCGGTGGGGCCGCGAGTCAAAGGCAGGCAGCGGCCTGATTGACGCGTGTAACCGTGGAAGGGAGAGGAGGGCCAAGACGAGCGCGCGTCAAGGCCAGCGGCCAACCCCCAACCACACTCCCAAGCGACCGAGCGATCGCCGGCAGCCGACCTTGGACGCCGTCGCTTCGGTGCGCTCCGACATGGACAGCACTGCCGCGATGAAGGCCTGAGAGACGTTGCTGGCCTGCTTGGCCAGCTGGGCGTCAAACTGCAGCAGCAGCAGCCCGCCGATCAACAGCAGCGTCAGCACCTGGGCCGGCAGCGGTGTGGGGTTGTCAGAACGAATTTGGAACACGTCTGTTTTTTTTGTGTGGATATTGGCGGCGCTTCACTTTTCAATGGGCATGTCGTGCGGCAAGGACAGCAGGCACTACACAATCTGCGCACTGCGATCTGAGATCTGAGATCTGCAATCTGAGATCTGAGAGCTGTGGTCGCACCAGCCAGATCTTGACGCCCGCTATGAAGCTGCGGCCGGAGACCATCTTGCGGAAGGCTGGGATGTTGGGGTTGTGGGAGGCGTCCCAGCAATCAGGGGCCGGGAGGGGAGGAAGAACGCAAGAAGTGGTTTTGGTGGTTGGCGGGAGGACGGGACGCGTGCGTGTGGGTGCTGCGCTTGCCGCGCGCGACGCCCGCTCGCAAGCCCCAATCACCACGTGCTCTAGCGAACGCCCCAGGCAGGCCGTCGGCTCGCCGCCGCTAGACGAACGCAACCGCACGCGGCCAACAAAGGGCCGCCGCCACGCGCCCACCTTTCCGGCTGGCCAGTCCTGCCGGCAGCCGCGTCCCGAGCGCGGCCTTCCAATTTGCAAACAGCATGCTGCCGTTCAGCTGGTTTCGAAGCCCCCGCGTCCAAGCGAACCCGCACCCGCCGCTCGGAGCGCACGCCGCGCGCGCTTTGCCCGCTGGGCTGGGGGCGCCGCCGAGGGCCCTGAGGGTTGCGGCCTGCAGCTGCTGCGCGGCGTCGACGGCCTCCATGGCGGCAGAGTAGCTGAAGAATATGGCGCGCGTCTGAAAAGCGGGGCGGGCGTGGTTGAGCGAGTTAGGCTGGCCTCAGCCGGATACAACACGAGAGGGGGGTTGGGCGGGTTGGAGTGCAGGGGCCTTGCGTGGGCAGGGGCCGGCTGTGCCCCGGACGCGGGACCCCTGAGAGGCTCTGTGAACGCCAGTTGGGCACGTTTGCAGGGCCGGGGTCGGGAGCTGCGGGCACAGGTGGCCGCGTGAACCCCTGACGCTGGCTGAGGGGGCACGCGTCGGCGGCCCTAGAGGCGTCTGTCTGCGGCGCCATGCAGAGGCCAAAACATACCCCGGCGCGGACAACACGCGACCACCATTCCATTCCAACCCCTGGGTGCAGCACGCGCTCGCCGGGGCCCCCAACACACCACGTCGCGCACCTGGGTCAGCGACCAGGCCTTGGCGGGCGCCGCGTCAGTCGCGCTGCGCAGCACATCCCAGTACGCCCTCTGCTCCAGGGTCAGGCCGTCCTTCAACTCCCGCCGCACCTCCTCCCACGCGCCCGCATCGACCCCTCCGGCGGCGGCCGCCGCCGCAGGGCCGGGGCCGCGGGCGGAGGCCGAGAGGGCGGCCGAGGCGTGCGCGAGGGCCGCGGCGATGGTGGCGTGTGTGAGGCGTAGGGCGTTTGTGTAGCAGGGGCTGTGGGTGGCCTCGTTGATCAGGTTGTCATCCTCCAATATGGACTCGCACGCGGTCAGGCTGTGGTCGGGGGGGCATGGGGGCAAGTCACTTGATCGTGCAACTTGTGGGCCTACAGAGGGGCAGGCATTGTGAGCGGACATGCTGGGGTCTGCGGCGGCGGCGGGGCCGCTGCGGCAGCGACCGGCGATGCAACAGCCTGCTGGGGTTCTGCGAATCCACGCAGATATGCGCGACTAACGACGCGTTCGGATAATTTTTGCGATGGAAATACAAAGTACATCATGCACGGGCCAGCAACAATGGTGTGGGAATGTTTCAGACTGAGGGCCCAAAATCGCACAGCGGGGCGCACATGCGCGATTCCAGGCTGACGTCAAAACCACACGCACCTTGACACCACGCGCTGCGCAGCCGCCGCGAGCGCGCCGTACGCGCCGGCGTCAAAGCGGGAGGGCAAGAGCCAGCCCGGCTCCGCGGCAGCCGCGGGCAGCAGCAACTCAACAGCGCGGAGCTTCGGGCCCAGCGCGTACAGCGGCGCCCCCCTGGCCTCGACCGCGCACGCCGTCTGCCGGCCTGGGTGGCAGGCGCCGCCGCCGTCTGGCGGCAAGCTGGCGGCGAACGACGCGTCGCCCGCGCCCGCCGCGCCTTCCTTGCCGAGCGGCGGCGGCGG